GCCCTGCCCCGCCCTGCCCCGCCCTGCCCCGTTTCGTGCCGCACGCGCGGAATCAGGTCAGTGTAGGGAAGCAAGTCCCGGTGGGAAGAAAACGCGACGCTCCTGCCGAGTGTTTGAACCCACAACAGTTATTCGACATGGCGCTTCTCCGTCTGCTCTCGCGGTGTACACAATGCTCACTCTCGGCATCGCGTGTCGAACAACGATCCAGAAGCTCGCCATAAGCGGTCGACGACTGCCTGTTCTGGTTTAAGCGATTTGTCGTTTGTTTGTTTTTTGAACATTCGTTTTTCCAAGAATACACCTGGTGAATTGTTGTACATTTTGTCGAAAAAAACTGTTAAAAATTATTCACTAGTTTAAGCGTTTAGGTACAATTGTGAAGTTGAGCTACATAGCTGACAACTTTTGCATGCTACGTACGGGGCACTACATGTCAAAATCAAAATGTCAATGCCTTATCGTCAGATTGCTTAGTTCTCCTATTGTACTCAGTTTTTTCATTTCACACGCCTAGCTCTACGCGGTGTGGCCAGTCGCAGCGGTCATGTCCCAGCATGGCGGGACTGAGCCTCGCGTGCACAGCCACAGCAGAAGGCCCGCGCCCGCGGTACCCGAGCTGGACCAGCGGACCAACATGCCTGCCGAATCCTCCACGTCAACCGTGACTATTCGGCACTACCACTCCGCGCTTGTGTTTGGTAGTCACCGACAAGCAGGCAGCGATCTACGGGATTTACGGGTGTCGCGATCTCTCTACCCCCGTTCGGTGTTCGACTTACTTTTCATAGGAGACGACGTCGCTTAGAATCCCTGCGCCTTCCGCGCCCTGATGAAGCAGGCCGACGACCACCATGGCCAGCGCGACGGCGGCCCCGGGGCGCTGCCCGCTGCGCTGCCCGCTGCGCGCCATGCTCGTGCTGGACCTGTGCCGTGCCGTCAGGCGCCGTGTACCGCTCTGGTCCGTGGGCCCCTGTGACTCGCGCCCGCGCGGTCCGTACTGCGCTGGGCCGAGCTGGAGGGGGAGTCTCTTATAGGCCCTCGACGGGCACCCCGCCGGCCAGCCGGCGCCCGGGACCCGGCCCGGCCCGCGGGGAGGGGCCACCGCAGACGCACCAACGCCCTTCCACGCGCAATGATGTGCTCTCCTTTATGACTTTTGTTCTGTTTTACGGAGTGCGGTAAAAACAAATACAATATTTGTGTGGTTTGAACACATGACATTCAGTCTTTAATTTAAAAGGTATTACTTACGGACCTCGACAATGTACAGTGATTACAACGTTGAATGTATTTATTCTCATTATTATTCGACCTAGTACGACGCACAAGTCCGCCGAAAACATAATTCAGTTCGTCCAACATCGGACATTTCGAAGTCGGTTCATCACAAGAAAAATAAGGGAAAGTGGTCCAAGACCAATCACACATCAGCTTTGTTGTCACAACAGCAAAAATATCGCCCAGGGAGGGTTATCACTTTGCCAACAAGCAATAATAGCCACACTCCGTACTCGCCTTCTCATCTCACTCTCGTAACAAAAATAAAATATATCACTCTGATCAAAAGATAATTTCTAGTCCAAGTAACGCCCGGAGCCGATGACAATACTGTGAGTTAGCTTGCGAGCCCTGTCGATGGCGCGCTCATCCAAAACTCCTCTGCGAGGGCCTTGATGTCGGGCTTCTGCTCCGGCCGCGCGTCACCTTCTTGGCCTCCGCGGCGAAGACGCGGAGCCCCTCAAAGCTCTGCCGCGCCACCTGGTCGATGTAGCTCGGCGGAAGCTGGAAGCCGAAGTCGAAGCCCGGGAGCTCGATGGTGTACGACAGGGGGATGCCCGCCACGCCCTTGGCCCAGTCGTCGCTGCCGCCCGCCGCCGGGTCTGTCAGTGTGAAGCAAGGTAGTTTGATTGGCAAGCGCTTCATCGAGAAAAAGGCATGGTTGAAAATTATTGCAAAACTAGTCAACGCGTACACAAAACCTGCGTGGACGAGCCGATGGTGTACTCCTGACTGCCGGCCTGAACCATGGCTGCGTTCACCTTCTCCGCCACGGATCTCTGAAAGCAGAGAGAAGACGAGCTCATGAGGGACGGTAGTGTGGGCCCCGCAGGCTCAAGCTCGAGCTGGCCCCGCAGTGTCGCGCCACGCCCGGGCGGTAGGCCACCCATCCGGCGCGTGGCGTCTCGCTCGGGCTCGCGCTAGTCGCACTCACCAGCAGCTTCCAGTCGTCGGGATTGTCAGCCGTGTAGCCCCACGGGTACAGGAGGAACTGAAACAATGGTCGTACACAGTATAGAGACACAGGCAGACAGCCGGCAGCGATCACACTGGAAAAACAAAGGTGCTATGTAATGCCTTTTTAAAGGCGTTAGAGATATAGTGTAAGGCGCCAGGGCCGACCTGGTTAAAATAGTGATATAGTGCCTCTAGAAAGGTGCTACTGCCCCCCAAAGGTGCTATGTTTGGCACAAATCGTGCCTCTACAAAGGCACTAGTGCAGTAGCACCCCTAAAGATTCAATAGCACCCTAAAAAGAGTGCTATACAAAGTACTGCCTCGATCTTGACTGAGGAATCGGGACCAGACTTCAGCTTACAGAGAACGGCCCGAAAGTTAGCCACATGTTGCCAGTCTATTGTGACGGCGCGGGCCCGGGCACCAGCCTGTTGTAAATGCTTTGTCTCCCGGCCGGCCGGCGAGCTCGCGCGAGCTCGAAAGGTTGTAAACCCCCTTCCGTAAGCAGGGACCGCCACAAAATTTCAGCTTACAGAGGGGCAGCTGCTAGATCGGGGGCAATACTGTAGCACCTTTGTTTTTCCAGTGCACGGCAGGGCCGTCGGCAGGCTGAAGCTACTCACATTGCCGTAGGCGTGGTAGCTGATGTACAGCTTAAACCTCTCCTTGTTGGCGTACAAAAAGTTTCGGATGTTGAGCGCCTCGATCTCGGAAAAGGCCTTTCTGCCCGCATAAGTCTCGCTGCACGGGTTGGAGCTCGCACCGATCTCTGCCGATGAAGGGGATAATGAACTAGCTGATGAGCAGTCTGCCAGGGCTGAAAGCTGATGCAAGCTCCTTACCATTCCAGTGGAAATCAAAGTTTCTGTTTGGGTCCGCGCCGTAGCAGCCAGGCACGGAGGTGTTGGACCGTGTCTTTCGCCACATGCGGTCCTAAAGGGCAAGACCCAGCGTCAGAAAAATCTTTGGCAGATTCACCTTGTCTCTCTCTCTCATGCATGCCAACCTTCTTGTGAGTAAACTCGTAGCCGTCCGGGTTGGCCACGGGCAGGATGAACCAATCCTGGTGCTCGCGCATCTCGGCGGTGGACGTCTCGTTCTCGGCGAGCTGGCTGAGCGCGAACAAGGCTGTGGCGGGCGCGATCCACTCGCGGGCGTGGATGCCGGCGTCCACCCACACCGCCTTGTACTTGCACTCGAAGCAGTTCGACAGCTGCACCACCGTCATGTTCCGCTTCTGGTGGGTGAACCCAATGTTGTGCAGGCGCACTTTGTTCGGGTGGTTGGCCGCCAGCTCCTTAATGTAGGTCGTAATCTAAAGAACCCGGCATTGGATATTATAAAGTAAAGCAAAAACAGTAAAAGACTGTGCTAGATTCTGCTGGACAAGAGCTTCACCTCCTCAAAATCCAGATACCGCTGGTTGTTGATGTATGCGTCTCCGGGTGCAAACCTGGAGGTCAGGAGTGGCTGCAGCTCCTTGTCGACGCGGGCCTGGTACCTGCAAGCGAACAGGACATGCTTTAGCACCGGCCGGATGGCGGGCGCGGTAGCGCGCGGCGGAGAGGACGGGGGGGAATGACGGGCCAAAGTCGCCGTTATTTCTCCTCCTGTTTCCTCCGCAGGCGAATAGGGTGGATGTGATGTGAGGGCGGCAGGCAGACGGAAATGCAGCGGGCGGGCAGCTTTGAAAGCGGGAGGGCCGTGAGAAGGGACGTGACGTGCAGCCGTCGTGTCACGGCGAGCATTCGAAGCTGGGGGGCAGGCCTAAAGGTAGGCCTAAAGGCAGGCCTAAATGCAGACCTAAAGGCAGGCCACGTCCACGTGGCGGACGTAACGAGAATAATCACCGACTCGGCCGAGAAGTGTGTGAGTCTGAATAATGTGCAAGCAGGAGCAGAGTGGACGTCGCGGCCGCGGCGAGCTGGTAGCGCTGGTAGCTGGTGCGAGGGAGTGGGGAGCGGCAGCAGCAGGGAAACCCCCTCGTCACAGGCAGGACAGCCCTCCTGCTGCGGCTGCGTGGTGGCACGGCCAAGCGTCAAAATGAAGAGGGTGACGTGCCAGTGCAAAAAAAAAGTGGGAGCAGCTCTTGCATTTCTTGTATTTTCTTACTATTTTTGAACGCGTATTTCTATGCAACGTAGTGTATTTTGTTGTCTTTTTCGTGTATTTTTTTGTGTTTCGGCGTACATTCTTTATAGCTGCCCCTTTCCCCCATCGAACCACGACGATGTGCGCCGGCCAGCGGCAGGCAGAGGCGAGTACCTATAGCTGCTTTAGCACGGCTACGGCTGTACAGTGCGTGCAGCCGGGCCTTCCCCGGGTGGGACCGGCGGGACAACATCTTCGCTGCTGCGGAGTCAAGAGGAGGAGGAAGAGGTAACTTGAACGCAGGGCTGGCCGTTTGTCGCCGAGCTGTCGCCGCCGCGCTGCCCCGTCCTGTTCTCTGTCGTGCAAACGAACATGCTTCGCGGTGCCGGCCGCCTCCTTGGCTGCCGCCCTGCTGGCTGTGACTCATGCGCCCGCTTAGGGAAGCGGTATGGCGGTGTCGTGCCAGGCGCGTGACGGACACGTCGCACATGCTCGTGCTGGTGGTGTAGGGTCTCGCCGGGGAGGGGAGGGTGTGCGGCGAGGTGGGGTGTGTTTCAGGGGCGGGGCCCGAAGAGGTCACCCCTTCGGGTACCCCCGGTGGGGGGTTGGTGTCATGGGGACATGCCGGCATGCTCTGCGCTCGCTCTGCGCTCGCTCTGCGCCCGCTCTGCGGGGTACGGTACCGAGGTACAGCCCGCCGGGGCAGCGTGGGGAAGGGAGTCCACGTCCGAGTGTTCGGCGTGCTGCGCCTAACCCGACGGTCTGCTTCGTTCTCGGCCTCGATGGAGCTAAAACAAACAACCAGACACCGCAGCGATGGAGCGAGAGCCTGGGCCGGGCTAGGCTGCGTCCTCCACCACCTTCTGCAGCAGGTCCCCCGCGCCGAGCGGCAGCCAGTAAGACCAGTACGACGCGATCCCCTGCGCTGTAAAGCAAGCCGCCGAACTGAGGGAACTCACTCCTGCAAGTCCTGGTGCAGCACGGTGGGCTGCAGCTGCAGTGACGTGAAGACGCCGACCACCTCGTTGCGCTTGTCCGGGGAGATCATGGCGTCGCAGGGGAAGTTCCTCCGGGGCGGCGTCCACCACTGCACGCCGCGGTCCTCCAGCCCGCGCAAGGTTCGCACCTGCTCGTCTGTCGTGGGCGTCACCCTGAGCACGGTGTAGCTGGAACAGAGAGGAACTTGTAAAACAGGACGAGACGCTGAAGCCCCGCAGCTCAGCTCAACGAGTGAGTGGCTTCATTACGATGTACGATTATTACTCGTTGTACACAAAGAGGGAAGAATGAGGAAGAGGCCCCCGCGACGCCGCCGAGCACATCGCCGAGCTTGATCTCGCGCCAGATCCTGTCCGCGCCGCCCCGCGCCGTCCTTGGGCCGCGCTGTTCGCGTCGTGCACCTCGCCCGCCGAGGGGCACATCTCGTTCGGACCAATAAGTGGTTCAGCGTGATGGTGCCGCGGCACACGGTGCGAGTCGGCGGGCGGCGCGGCGCGAGACGGCGCACGCAGGCCAGCCTGTACCGACTTGAGTGTCATGAGCGCATGTCCTTGGCAGTGACAGCCTCATGGCACGCACGGCAGAGGGCCGTCCGTCCTGTCGCACCGTGTCCTCGGACTGGGCTGCCGGACGGGAGGACAGCGGAACTGGTTCGCTTGGCTGGCTTGGGCTGCTTGGGCGCGACCGCCCGGGACGTAGGCTAACCCGCCGCGCACAGCTGCGCTGCGGGGCTGGAGCCGGCTGCCGGCCCCATGGGTGGCCAGAGTGCGTCAGCACAGCACAGCGACCTTGCCCTGAGTCCAGCAACACTCGGTGGCCACACAGTGCAGTCTTCACTGGAAACTAGCATGTGACATGTTGTGCGTCAAACCAAATATAATGTGTTCCTAGGAAAGCTTAAAATATGAGGCAGACACACAATCGACGCATCCGAGCAACAAAGGCGGATCAAAAAGCGGTCGCTGAACAACGGCGGATCAGAAAGCGGTCGCTGAACAACGACGGATCAGAAAACGGTCGCTGAACAACGACGGATCTGCTTTTTGCTGATCTCTGCATACTTGACTTTGCAGGCCTTTTACTCTCCTTAGAGATATCGCATCGTGTTGG